TTGCATAGAAGGGGTAATGAAAAACTGAAGGAAGATCATGGGAGGGCAAACAGACAGGAGATGACTGTGAAGGGTGATTTTTCAAGGTAGGATTTATAAGCCAGTTGACTCTTCATTTCTCGCCTCACTTTAATCAAAGATGGTTCTGAGATTTTGAGCCTGAATGATGGAGAAGATTGTGCAGGTAGCAGAGATAGAGAATACAGGTATGTGAGTTATATTTTAGATATATGTAATTTAAAGTTTCGGCAGCACATCCAGGTGTAGGGGTCTAGGCAGACATTAGAAATATGGGATTGAGGCCAGGTGTGGTTCCTCACACGCCTGTAATCTCAGCACTTTAGGAGGCTGAGGTAGAAATATCACTTGAGCTCAGCAGTTCGAGACCAGCCTGGGCAACAAAGTGAGACCCCTAATTTACAAAAAGGAAAGGAAATATGGGGTTGAATTTTGGAGAGGGATCAGGTTTGAGGGTAAAGTCTAGGATTTCACATGGAGGTAATAATTTACATTGCCTGAAGAAGAATGGAAAGTCTAAGAAAAAAATCAGTTCAATTTCAGTTGTCCTGATTAACAGCAGAAATTTAAGTAATTATGGACTGTTGAAGGCATCTTTCTGTTTGGAGACCAGAGTTATGTCCTGAGTGATTTTTTTACAGGTATCTTGATGTTTGGACTTGCTGCTAGATGGCAGTAGTAATCAGTGCCAAGGGCAAGGAAGGCAACTGTGAAAACAGTTTGACAGCTTAAGTCTAATTCGTATGTTTAGTACAGTTTACAATTGACTGTAGATGATTTTCAGCTCTTTTTATCCTTCACATCAGGTCTATAAAATAAGTGTAATGGTTTTTTTCTCTTAATATCCGGATTTTGCAAGATAGTTCAAGGATTATGCCTTTTGTTGCTTGTTTCTCTGATATCAGGGTCTTTGAGTTCAGAAGAGAGGAAATGAGTTTAGAACTTACCAGATTCTGATCTCCCCATAATATAGCACAAAAGTGCTTCAAAGAGCTGGTTCTGCTATATCTTCATATGAATGTTATACAAGCTATACATATTTATGTTTGGGGGTTTTACCACTTACTGTTTTGATTTCTATTTGAATATATTCCTTTTGGATCACTTCCTGTTTGGGAGTAATGAATAGTGAATCAACCTTAGAATGTAAAAGCAAGTGTCTGTAGCTATCAGTTTGTAAATACTTATAAAGTAGTGCCTTATTGTCTGATAGAGATGTTGACATGATTATAAGCTATCCAGTGTCAGGAAGTCTCATTCTGGTTTAATCTTATTTCAGCCACTAATTGACAGTGGAAATTTAAAGAATCATTAATATGTTAAAGCGACTTTCTGCTTGGTGACTTAAGATAGCATTTGGGGGGGGGGAGCATTCATATTGTGAATAGTTCATATACACACACACACATACACACACATATACACATATGTATACATATTTATATATAAAAGAGATAGAAATGCTAATACTAGTTTATTCTGCAAGTCACCATTTGTCACCGTGTTACATTTATTTTAAATTCTCTGTGCTCTCATTGAGTGGTATGTGAGTGCTTCTTTTGTGCCAGACACCATTCAGGCACTTAATGTGTGATAATGAATTTACTTCTTATAAAGCCTTATGACGTTGATATTGCTCTCCGCTGTTTAAAGAGTCTGAAACTGAAGCAGCTAGGAAAGCCAGAATTTGAGGCTTGGTAGTTTGGCTGTACACCCATTCCATTCTCTCTCTGTCTCAGTTCCTCATCTAAAGCATTGTCATAAAAGACTAGCTTTTAGGATTATTGGGAGAGTTTAATAAAGCATTGTATATGAAGAGACTGACACAGTAACCTTGAATATCAGTTATCAGTTAATATTAACTATTGTTTGGCCACGTTCTGCCTTTCTTTTTTCCTTGTGTCTATTATAGTTTTATGTTTTTTCCCCCTCTGCCTATTCCTTAAACAGTGGTATTCCAGGATTCTGTTTCTGGCCTGCTGTTTGCTATGCTTCTGAATACTTCCACTTTCTGCAGGCACATTCACTTTCCTGTTTTTATTTTATTTAATTAATTAATTTATTTATTTATTGAGTTGGAGTCTCACTCTGTCGCCCAGATTGGAGTGCAGTGGCACACTCATGGCCACCCCAGCTTCCACCTGCTGGGCTCTGGCGATCCTTCTGTCTCAGCCTTCCAAGTAGCCATAACTACAGGCACGCGCTACTGCACCCAGCTAATTTTTGATTTATAGTAGAGACAAGGTCTGGGCTGGTTTCGAACCTGGGGACTCAGGCAATCCACTTGCTTTGGCCTCCCAAATTGCTGGGATTACAGGCTGAGCCACCAAGCCTGGCTTTTTAAAAAAATTTATTATTTTAATTTTAAAGATGTGGGATACAATTCAGGGTTAGGTATACAAATGTTCCTTATGCTGGTACCCTTGTTGATGAGGTGTGCCCCTCCCTCCTCTGGAAGTTTCCCTCAATTGCCGGTCTCACACCCCCCCACCTCCTCCGCCATTTCCCACTACTGCCAATCCCTTTCTTATATTATTATGATAATTGCTCAAGGTCCGCTTATGATGAGAGCATATGGTAGCTTTCCTGGTTCTTAACTACTGCCTCCTTCCTCTAGTCTGGTGACAGAATGCCTTGCTTTTTGTCTGAGTTACAAACTGATGTATCCAAATATTTCCTGCATATTTGCTCTTAGCCATTTCCACAAGTCCCTCAGGCTTGATATGAATAAAACTAAGGACATTTCTTTGTTCTTGCCCCCATTTTCTTGCTTTTTGGATTCACTTTGACTTAACTTCTCCCAGTCATCCAACCCAGGAATCAACTTAAATTCCTCCTCCTCTTCGACTCTGCCTCACTTTCAAATCCAGTTGATGCCAAGTTTCACTAATTTTACTTCCTGAGTAGTTCTCAAATTTACCATAGGCCAGGCAAGGTAGCTCATGCCTGTAATCCCAGCACTTTGAGGGGGGCGGGCTGAGAGGGCTACTTGAGGCCCGGAGTTTGAGATCAATTTGGGCAGCATAGTCAAACCCTCATCTCTACCAAAAAAAAAAAAATTGTCTGGATGTGATGACAAGTGCCTGTAATTCCAGCTATTTGAGAGGCTGAGGTGGGAGGATTGCTTGAGCCCAGGAGTTCGAGGCTGCAGTGAGCTATAATCGTACCACTGTACTGCTGCCTGAGCAATAGAGTGAGACACTGTCTTTTTTTAAAAATTGCCCTTTTTTCTCCATCCCTTAGTTCAGAACTCCATTTTCTCTTTTTTTGTCTTACTTTGTTTAGAGACAGGGTCTCTACCGTAAATGCCACTAAGCTGGAGTTGCAGTCCGATTCAAGGTAGCACAGAGCGCCCAGGAAAGTGATACAGGAGTCCTACACAGGCAAACATACTTTTAAAAAAACATGTATATTATTTGATTTTTTTTTTTTTAAGTTTGGCATCAGATTGCTGGGGTCATAGCTACTTTTCAGAGATCTGCGTTGCTCCCTTTTTTTTTTTTTTTTTTAAGTTGGAGTCTCACTCTTGCTCAGGCTGAAGTGCAGTGGCATGATCATGGCCATTGCAGCCTCAACCTGCTGGGCTCCAGCAATCCTTCTGCCTCAGCCTTCCAAGTAGCTGGAACTACAGGCGTGTGCCACCATGCCCAGCTAATTTTTTGATTTGTTGTAGAGATGAGGTCTTGCCATGCTGCCTAGACTGGTCTCGAACCCCTGAACTCAGACGATCTTCTTGCCTCCACCTCTCAAAGTACTGGGATTGCAGGTATGAGCCACCGTGTCCGGCTGCTCACTCTTTAAATTAAGCTGTCTCCCCAAGTCTTACACCTTGGAGTCTATCCTAGCCACTTTATTTAAAAGAATGGCTTCTTAGCCCATCTCATCCCTTCTCATCATGTTATAGCCCTTAAACTCTGGCTTAATTTTCTTCATAGAGCTTGTCTTCCATGATGTTATATATTTATTTGTTTATAGCAGGGTTGAATGAAGAACGAATGCTGCAGCATCAGAATAACAGCAAACTTGGTAAAACTGTTAGAGCAATGTTCTAGCCTTTCTTTGGTTGGCTGAAGACTCCCATCTGATATGTTTTGAGTAAATTTATAAATTCTAAAAATGAAACTGAAATTTTGAACTATATAGAACATTTTCATCACCCCAAAAAGTTTTCTTGTGCCCTTTAGTAATCATTGCCGTCCTGACAGCCTCAGCTCCTAGCCACCACTGATCTCATTTCAGTGCCTAACATTTTGCCATTTCCAGAATGTTCTATAAAAAGAATCATACATTTTGTACCCTTTTATGTTGCATGTATCATTGCTTTGTTCCTTTTCTTTTCTTTTCTTTTTTTTTTTTTTGAGTTGGAGTCTCACTCTGTCTCCCAGATTGGAGTGCAGTGGCCGCTCCCGGCCACCGCAACCTCGACCTGCTGGGGCTCCGGTGACCCTTCCGCCTCAGCCTTCTGTAGCTAATTTTTTGATTTATTGTAGAGATGAGGTCTCACCAAGTTGCCCAGGCGGGTCTTGAGCCCGTGGGCTCAGGCAATCCACTCGCCTCAGCTTCCCAAAGCACGGGATTACAGGCTGAGCCACCAAGCCTGGCTTGGTTTGTTTCTTTTCTATTGCAGAGTTAGATTCCTGTGAGCGCACGCGGGTGCGCATGTGTGTTTGTGTGTGTCTGTGTGTGTGTGTGTGTGTGCCCAAAAAAAATGTGTACACATTTTAAGAAATTTGAGATGCTCGCAGTAATCAAGCGTCTGGACACTGATGGTAGCCACTTGGAGCACCTCTTGTAATTGCAGAAGTCAAATCTGAATTGTATTCATCTTTTGTGATTGGAATATATTGAGTATGACAATTTTAATACAGTGTTTTCCTTTCTTAATGTGAATATATTTTTTTGGCACCCTCTCTGTGTGTGTATATATATATGCCACAGTTTGTTGTTCTACTCCCCAGATGACAGATACTCTCATTGTTTCCAGGTATTTGGCTGTTAATGAATAAAGAGGTGATGAACATTTGTGTGTAGGTCTTTGTGTGGACATATGTTGTCATATCTCTTGAGTAAATACCTAAAAGTGGGATTGCTGGGTAAGTATTTAACTTTATTTTTTATTCTGCCTAACTGCTTTCCAGAGGGCTGTATCATTTCCCATCACTGTATGAGGGTTCCTGTTGCTTTGCATTCTTGCCAGCACTTTGTATTGGTAGTCCTTTTGTATTGTAGGCAGTTTAGTCAGTGTGTAGTAATGGCTTATTGTAGTTTTAATTTGCATGTCGTGGATGACTAATGATGTTGAGCCTCTCTTCATGGAATTGTTATCCACATATTTTCTTTGGTGAGGTGTCTCTTCAAATATTTAACCTTTTTTTCTTTTTTTATTGAATCGTTTGTCTTATTATTGGGTTGCAAGAGTTCTGTATATATTCTGGATATAAGTTCTTCACCAGATAGGTGTTTTGCCAATATGTTCTTCCAGTCTATAGTTTGCCTTTTTATTTTTTTAACTGTTTTTTTAAACTTTTTCAAAAATAAGAAGTTTTGCATTTTCATGAAGTCAAAAATTTTCTTTTATGGTTTGTGCTTTTTGTATTCTAAGAGATCTTTATCTAACCAAAGATCATACATTTTCTATTTTTTTTTCCACGAAGTTTTGTAGTTCCTTTTCCTACATTTAGATCTACAATGTGTTAAACCCAAATTTCAGAATCCAACAAAGAGCCAGCTCTGATGCAAACACACAAGGGTCTTTATTCAGGCTCGAGTCTGGGCTCACGCCTGAAGCAGCAGCTTCAGGGACGAGAGCCCCGATCCAGCATGGCAAGCAGTTTTTATATATCATTACAGAGGGAGGGGAAAGAACTTTAAACTTGTTTTTACATGATAGGGTTAATTTCTTCTAATGGGTACGGGGGCACTTGGGATTGGTCTGGTCCGCTCAGCTACCTGTGATTGATGGGGGAGCTGCTAAATGAGCAGAGTGGAATGTCAGATAAGCTAGGTTTAGCAAGCAGGCAGGCTAAGCAAAGGAATGTCTGAGAGGGGTTTATTACTTGACATTCACATACTGCTAGCAGCAGTTGCGGAAGCAATCGGTTATTTTATGAGACAAACAAAAATTAAACTTAACAAAATTCTAAGTACAAACACTGCAAACAAATACAGTGAACGTGGGTAGGAATTCATATAGTAATAGTTCTCTTAGAGTGTTTTTTGTTTTTTTTTTTAATCTCTTGGGTCTCTCACAATGTATTTTGAATTGATATTCCTTGCTCTTTTTTTTTTAAACTGGTATTTTTTTTAACTTTTAATTTTTTTATTTTAAAGATGTGGGGTACAATTCAGAGTTAGTTATACAAATGTTCATTATGCAGGTATCCTTGTTGATGAGGTGTGCCCCCCTTCCCTTTTATTTTATTTTATTTTTTGAGTTGGAGTCTCACTCTGTTGCCCAGGCTGGAGTGCAGTGGCATACTCACGGCAACCTTGATCTCCTGGGCTCAGGAGATCCTTCTGCCTCAACCTTTCAAGTAGTTGGAACCATAGCCATGCATCACCATGCCTGGCTAATTTTTTTATTTATTGTGGAGATGATGTCTCACCATGTCGCTCAGGCTGGTCTTGAACTCCTGACATCAGGAAGTCCTCTTCCCTCTGTTTTGCAAAGTGCTGGGATTACAGGCTTGGGCCATCATGCCTGGCTTGCTCTGACTTCTTTAACTCATATTAGTGAACCACCACAGCTTTCTTTTTGTAGGCATTTGCATGGTCATCCCTTTCTATCCATTTACTTTTAACCTATCCATGGCTTTATATATATATTTTTTAATTAATCAATATTTTTTATTATGGTTTTGTGGGGTACAGTTAAGGGTTAGGTGTACAATTACGTTTCATTCAGGCACCCTGTTGATAAGAGGTGTTTTTCCATCCCCAGACAGATATTTGCTACTGTTAATCCCATCCTCCTCCCCCCCTCCATGGCTTTATATTTACAATAGTTTCTTTTCTTTTTTTTTTTGAGTTGGGATCTCACTCTTGTCATTCAGACTGGAATGCAGTGACACGCTCACAGCTACTGCAGCCTCAACCTACTGGGTTTAAGTGATCCTTCCGCCTCAGCCTTCCATACAATAGGTTTATTTAAGACAACGCACAGCCGGGCTCGGTGGCTCAGCCTGTAATCCCGCGCCTTTGGGAGGCTGAGGTGAGTGGATTGCCTGAGCCCGCGGGTTCGAGACCCGCCTGGGCAGCGAGACCTCATCTCTACAATAAATCAAAAAAATTAGCCGGGCGTGGTTGCGCACCCCTGTCGTTCCAGCTACTTGGAAGGCTGAGGCAGAAGGATCGCCGGAGCCCAGCGGGTCGAGGCTGCGGTGGCTGGGAGCAGCCACTGCACTCCAGTCTGGGCGACAGAGTGAGACTCAAATTCAAAAAAAAAAATGAATTTTAAGACAACGCACAAGGGGGACCCTCCAGAAACTGGAATTTATTTATAAAAATTGTGTACTTATTCTTACATGTTTAAACTTCAGTCACCTTCAAAGTACTCTCCATTTGATGCAATACACCTATCAAGACACTTTTTCCACTGCTCAAAACAGTTTTTAAATTCATCCATTTTGATGCCTTTTTGTGTTTCTGCTTTTTTTTTGTTTCAACTCTTCCACAACAGCAAAATGTTTCCCTTGGAGTACTTTTTTCATCGGGGGGGAAAAAAAATGTCTCTCAGGGTGAGATTGGCCAAATAGAAAGGGTGGGGCATGGGGTCATGCTGTTTGGGGTCCAAAACCGCTGAAGCTCAGTGCGATGTGGGCAGATGTGCTCATAAATCCCCCGTCATGAAATGCGCAACAGGTATTTTAACATATGCATACATTATAGAATAGCTAGGTCAGGTAGATTAACATATCCACTACCTCACATACTTATTTTGTGGTGAGAACACTTGAATTCTACTGTCCTAGCAATTTTCAAGTATACATTGCGTTGTTTTTTGGGTTTTTTGTTTTTTTTTGAGTCAGATTCTCACTCTGTCGTCCAGGCTGGAGTGCAGTGACACACTCATGACCACCATAGCCTCAACCTGCAAGACTCAAGTCAACCTTCCACCTCAGCCTTCCAAGTAGCTGAAACTACAGGCATGCACCCGGCTAATTAGATACACAACTTTTTATAAATAAATTCTGCGATTTTTTTGTGTTTGTATGGCGATAGATATAGCTAGATGAGATCATGCAGTATTTGGCATTCTAGACCTGGTTTATTTCACTTAACATAATGACCTCCAGGTTTCTCTCTGTTTTACAAATGACAGGATTGTCTTCATTTTTAAGGCTGAGTAGCTTTCTATTGCATGTATTATACATCAGGTTTTCTTTATTCATTCATCTGTCGATGGACACTTAGGTTGATTCCATGCCCTGCCTGTTGTGAATAATGCTGCAGTGAGCACAGGAATGTGGTTGTCTCTTTGACAAACTGATTTCCTTTTCTTTGAATGCATCCCTAGTAGTGGGATTGCTGGATCATATGGTAGTTCTATTTTTGATGTTTTGAGGAGCATCCATACTGTTTTCCATTATGACTGTACTACAATTTTTTCCCCACATTCTTGCTAGCACTTGTTGTTTTCTGTTTTGGGGGATCTTAAAAGCTAAATCTTCACTATTTTAAAGTCTTTCATCTGAGTGATCTCTGGATCCGTTCTCATTTCTTGACAATTTCCTGGTGACTTGTGCACTCGCACTCTCTCTTTTCTCTCTCCCCCACCCAATGGAGACTGAACTATAGTATTTACCCTTGGAAATGGCCACCTGTGCTTCTCTCAGGCTATGAGTGTTAGGGGTTGAACAGTCTAATTTGGCTTGGATTTATTGTTGCTATAGTTACTTTAGTACAGACTTCAAATTCTTTTAGCTCCGAGCTACTGCTGCCTTGTGCTTACTGTCAGGCCTGGGATACTGGAGGTTTTCTCTTACTGTCAGTGCTCCCCTCTCAGTTCCAGAAAGCCCTGATGGGGTTTATCGCCAAGTGCTTCCTCTTTCAGTGACCACTGTTGGTGCTGTTTTCTTGGTATGCGACTTGGTGAAAGCAGGGAGTCATCCTCCTCCACGGTTTATTTTGTTTTGAGAGATTTTTAAAGCATTTAAGATATTATCCTATGCCCACATTTGATTGTTAACTTGACTGGATAAAAAAATTCTGGGTTAGAGGGTTTTTTGGGGTACTTTTATTTTTAAATTTTATTTTGTTTTTATATTTTTTACGTAATATTTGTACATAGTTATGGAATACGATGTGATACTTTGATACATGTATATATTTTGTAATGATCAAACAGAGATGATTTTGATCCAGAATGTTGAAGACACTATTTCATTTTTCCCCTAGGATTGCTATTGAGAAGTCTGATGCTGTTATGATTCATGAGATTTTTTTATGTGACCACTATTCTCCATGGACACTTCTAGACTCTTTCCTTTATCACAGCCTTCTGAAATGTCAAGATATGTGTGTCGTGGTGTGGCTCTTTTTTGGCATCCTTTTTGCTGAAAACTCAGTTTTTGCCTCTTCCTTTTTTCCCCCTAGATTGATCAGTCCCCTGATTTTCTTTTCTTTATTCTTTCTCTTTCTTTTCATACTGCTTAAGTTGGAAATATTCCTTAACTATATCTTTTAGCTCTTCTATAGCCTTTTTATTTCTGCTATCTCATTTTTAGTTTCCAAGAACTCTTTCCTGTGCTCTGAATGTTCTTCTTTGTTAAAATATTCTAACGTGGAACTTTGCAGGGTGCAGGGCTCACACCTATAAATCCATCACTTTGGGAGGATCACTTGAGGCGAAGAGTTCAAGATTAGTTTGGGCAACATGATGAGACTCATCTCTACAGAAAATTAAAAAATTAGCCACGTGTGGTGGTGTATGCATGTAATCCCAGTGGCTTGGGAGGCTGAAGCAGGAGGATCACTTGAGCACAGGAGTTCGAGCTTACAGTGAGCTAAGATTGTGCCACTGCATTCCAGCCTAGATGGCAGAGCAAGACCCTGTCTCCAAAAAAAGAAACAGAGGCCAGGTGTGGTGGCTCTC